GGAAGCTTTTGGTTGGCAAGATGTTTATTAAAAACGACAACGAAATCATCACATTCAAAATGATCGAATAATATCTGCTGATAGGATGCGATAGGGCATGGTCACCTGCACTACCACAAAAGCTTGATTTTGATATTGAAAGTCCAACACGTTGACGACATCGCGCGTTTTGGCATTTTTGGCCGCGTGGGACCAGAGCGATTCTGCGAGCGCCGCCGCCTCACATCAAATCCGTGGATTTTGAGCTTTAAATACGCAATACTTAGATGCGACAAAGTGTTTTCAATAATGTTCGATCTGTCTACTTATCGGGAGTTACAGTAATGGAAGTTCGACCAAAATGACGTGTTAAGGCCATGAAAGGCAAATTTTACTTAATTTCGCTTTAGTGATTTCAAAATTATTTTGGACGTGGTTGTTTCAGTGAAAAACACATATCTTGCCATGCGAATAGGTTTGTATTCACTTCTATTATTCTTTTTTATCTACATGTTTACGTTAATGAAAAGAAAATGAGGAATGAACTGAACAGATATTTTCGTAAGGTCCGGAAAACCTCTGCCAAACTAAAGAATATTTGGCCATTCTATAAGCCGCGTGGTTCTTGGTTATGTTGATGTATGGCCTATAAAATGAACACAAAAAACCTGGGAAGAAATCGGGCATTGCGAAAAAACTAAATGTAATAGGTGTGGCATACATAGTTGCCACAATGTCCGATGAGGTGCAAAATGGCGGCATACATGGTTGCCGCTCTGCCTTTCATAACTGCTACCTGTTCATGAGGGAAACTAACGGCCAAAAAGAGGTCCCCTTCTGCGTTTACTTGACGGATGCTTTTTTCGCCACTGGCGTACCATTGAGCACCACCATGTCTTCTGTAAACCGTTCTAGAATCTATCTTATTCACTCCCTTCAAGCAACGAATACTGAGCAATGAAAGCGTAATCATTATACTATGAGTTGTTTTTGATTGGTCAGCTGCTGTTTTTGGCCAAGTTCACCATGCGAAAATTTCACAATAATGCTTTGTCATGAGCAAACCCCTCAGGCGAGACTCTACCCCGATCTCCTCATATGCTGGGCAACTTCGCTGCACCATTCAGCCCTATCTCATGTTTTCATGACATGTTTCTTAGCTTATCAGTACTCACACATATGTATAACGGTTAAGCAGTCAGCCGACTTCGCAATAAATGGTAATTGTTACATGTTGTAGAGCAATGTCGGAGCTATAAGTATGACTGTTTCTAGCATAATTTATGCCCATTACTTTTCATTTACTGTCATTTAATTCAGCTGATAAGAGTTAAGTGAACTACCTAATTTGTAGTAGGCTCATCAAATCTCGTTTTCTTTTAATCATTTTCGAGGGCGCTTCAATTATCACTCATAGCTTTTTTGAATGCTTATTATTATATAGTGTTGTTACATGTATACAGTTTTGTAATGGGCGCCGCTTATCACGAACATGACCCGGCGGTCGAATTGCAGATGGGATCTTTTCTGAACCAACGAAGCCACAATCCTTCCCGGGTTGGTTATTTGTTGCAGCATTCGTCTGATGTGAAAGGATAGTAGCATGGACTGGGCATTGGCTTATCCCAAATTGCATCTCAATGCCACCATGACTGAGTGTAAATGAACTTCGTAGCGCACTCCAAAAAGTGATTGGCCAATTCAAGATGCTTTGTCATATACAGTTTTTTAATGTTGTTCAAGAGGATATGAGTAGTAATTGCCACCCGTTCTTTGCTTATCAGTGGCGGCTAGCACCTTAACCCTTAGACTACGACTTTTTTGAAAACAAGTTATTGATGTGTTTTGTGTAGTAACAGTCGCTCCTAGCAACAACTAATCATCTGTAGAAATTTGGCTGATGCGCGCTGGGTTTGAGCTGGGATTCGATCCAGAGACCATATGCGCGGCAGTGGCCCCTCCTGTCACCACACCATCTCCGCTCGAATGAGCATTTTTGAACAGTTCAAATACCATTCAACAAATACACATTTATCACATCTCATTCGTGGAACAAGGCAATGTCCGGTTGGGAACGCACTTGAAAAGAATTGCAAGCCGCACTTTGTAGAAGTGCTGCTCCCCTGCCTACAGGCTGCGCCCACCGGCTGCTTCTCCTCTAACGAATTTTCGCTGGTTTTTATGCTCGAAAGCTGCGTCATCATAGGAGTGTTCTACTACCACTTCCGCATCAAACGAACTGACAAAACTCCGGAGGTTGGAATTTCCAACGCAGTCGTAAAACGCTGTCGTCCTCTAACTGGCTTGCGGCCGATAAAAACCTCCATCCGTCATCGGTTTGCTTATGTTTCACCTGTTTCACAATAATTGAGGGAAATATTAGAACCATTAACACAATACAAAGAGTGTGAGACTCGAAAACTACCTTTTCGGGAGCTGTGCACACTGCCCAGTGACCTGTGGAACGACTTGCTTATCAACTTATCCAGCGTAACTCGCTTAGACTTCTGATACTTCGCTGACAGAGTAAGAATTACCAAGTTTCTAGTTGTGCACAATTCCGCCATAAAGCGGGCCCTCCGATCTCAATAAGTGCCAAAACTGTGGTAGTGTCTTTGACTACCAAGTGGGACACATGTGTCCCACCAGTAGTCAAAGGGTTAACCAGTTCATGGTTGGCTCGATTTCGATGTGCCTGCAAGCGGCAGCCGCCACAAAACTACATCGCTCTCACATCATCTATGGGAGGGGAGAAGCTGTCAGCAGCTGTTTTGTTGACATGGAGAACGACGGTGTGCTATCGGCGGGATCTATGAACGCTCATGAATGTGTTGTTGCTCTTCGCGTCCGTTCTCTAGAATTCCGAGCCAGTAATTGTTATTGCTGATGATTCAACAAAGTGAGAATTGTCGAACAGTTCGTCAAAGCACTGCTATTATGGGCTAGCAGGGGACGTGACTCAAAACTGCTGGAAGCGAACACAGATTCTATCACAATGATGTGGGATCACACTGCCTCACTCAGCCTATGACATAGTGGTCCATCATCGGACACACGTCGCAGGCTGAGTGGGACAGTATGACCTCTTATATGTTTCACCACCTAGTGATCCATTTTTTCCGCAACTTCGTTGCTTACTTCTAAATTTTATTTGTTCTCTACGTGCCTCTACTACCCTAAAAACAAATAGATTAAAGGGGTCTGAAACAAGTCACTGCCTTACGACTTTGCCTGAGCAACTGTCAAAGATGATGGTGATAAGGGAAATCGAAACGAGGTAGTTTTTTGTCGTTTGTTGTTCTGAAGAAAACTATAAGAACCTGGAAAAAACATTTGACCTCCGAAAAATGTGCGTCATTGCTCACTTTTTCGTGCGTGAGCTGAACAGTTCGCAGAAGACACAGAGCCCTGAGAACTTCGCCTACAAGTATTGCAAGAGTATTGCCAAGGCTGCCGTCGCTAAGGCTAACACAGAGATGGACGCCTTGTACGAGAAGTTGGAGAGCCGAAACGCAGAGAAAGTTCGTCTTCAGACTGGCTAAGCCCGGCATCGGCTACCCAAGACATCAGGGTGGTGAAGAGTGTGAAGAGCAGCGAACGGTGCCATCCTGAGGAAGCCAGCTGAAGTCAAGAGGAGGTGGGAAGAGTACTACAGTGCACTTCTGAACGAGGAGTTCCCCCACAAAGACAACTCGCAAGCAGAGGCAACGGCTGGCCCATCTCACTGTGGACAGAGGATGAGGTGTCGCGAAGTAAGAAAGATGAAGGTTGGGAAAGGGTCCAGATGGGGTGCCAATCGAGGCATGGAAGGCGCTCGGAGAGTACGGGATCAATGGCTCACCGATTCCTGAACACGGTAACTGCGGAAGGAAGGATGCCGGATGCCTGGAGAACAAGCACTATCGTCCCCATCTTCAAGCAGAAGGGTGACGCGATGGACTGCTCCAACTACCGCGGGATCAAGTTGACTGCGCATACCATGAAGTTGTACGAGCGGCTGGTCGACTCGAAGCTGCGGGAGCTGGTCCCGATCTCCCAGGAACAGTTCGGGTTCATGCCCGAAAGATCTACAACGGATGCCATCTTCATCGCAAGGCAAGTGATGGAGAAGTATCGAGAGAAAGCGCCGACCCTGCTACCTAGCCTTCCTCGACCTGGAGAAGGCGTTCGACCGGCTACCGCGAGCAGTGCTATGGAGAGCGCTCAGGGAACGAAACGTGCCAGAACACCTGATCTCGCTGGTGAAGGACATGTACGAAGGAGCCAAAGCAGCTATACGCACCCCACACGGCCTGACAACGGAGGTACACGTCACTGTTGGGGTGCAGCAGCTTCGCTGAGATGAGGATGTTGAGATGGGCGTGCGGCTGGACGCGACTGGAAACGATCTGGAACGAGGTGTCATGCAGACTGCCCCTGTCCAGCTGAAGGTGAGGGAACAGACTACGATGGTATGGGCATGTGCTAAGGAGGCCACAGGATCATCCGATAAGAACGGCAATGGGCTTTCAAGCGCAAGGCGGCGAGTTGGAGAAACGTAATCAAGAGGTACTTCACTGAAGTCAGGGCCACAGCAGAAGGTACCCTGGATAGAACAACATAGCGACCGATGAAAAACCAGCGGGCCCTGCGGCTGCATCTTGCATCTTCACAAAGGTCCTGTAGTATCGATGTGTCACCTCCACTCCTAAACCAACTGATGAGACGGTGTCGCCAATTTGGCGATATTGGCGAGTAGGCTACTCATGGGCAGTGGTAAGGCAGATAAGCGATAGATCTTATAGGCGCGACCACCGCACTTCTTTCAAGTAAGGGTTTGGGCCAGAGTCAACCCTGCGTTGCGCAGTTCTCAACGGCCACGTTGCGCAGTTAGACACGTTCTCTCGCGCGAACATTCACACTCGCATGCTCGAGCCGTCTGTGTCTCCGCCCATACAGCGTGCGTTGAGGATCTCTCAACGTGCCGTTGCGAACTGCGCAACGCAGGGTTGACTCTGGTTAGGGCGAGCTGGTTGAAATACGCACGAGAATGACCTGGCACCGTCTTAAGCTTTCGATAAGGTTAACCACGCAAAACTTATTCAAAAGCTGGAGTCCCTCGGAATTGGTCAAATTCTGTTGAAGTGGTTTGAATCCTATTTATCTGATAGGCATATGACAGTGAAAGTGGGGAGAGAGTTCTCTAGCCGGCGTAGCTGCACAAGCGGGGTGCCTCAGGGTGGAGTGCTCTCTCCCTTACTTTTTCTTATCTACACTAGGGACTTACCCCTATTCTCAAGACATCGCAGGACATCAGAGTTCAGCTTTATGCAGACGATATAAAAATATATGGGATATACAATGCAGCCAACTGTTAGTTCAATCTGCACTCAGACGTTCTCTCGATAACTTAAAGGCAAAGGTCGGGCTCAGGCACGCTAGAGAAGTAATTCCCGTGCCTGGAGGTTGTATGTGGGTAGCTGCACACATTGCAGCAACTTCCCACCTTGAAAAACGTCGTTAAGCCCCGGGGCCGTCGGTTTCAATCCGGGACCGCCCACCTCCGGAAGTGGTGCGTGGCTGGCATAACGTGTGAAATCAGCTAGGTTGATTGCCGTATCAACCGATAGAACGACTGACATCTCCAGAAAACTTGTTTGTACGTGCCTCTTTCCCAAGCCAGCCTCCTTCACTGCTAGTGGGAAAGAGGGTTTTGTTAACGGCCTTGTCGACGGTTTTTCTCAGTTTTTTCTCCACTGTCGTTCCACTTCGCATCTCTATACTCAGTTTCAATCGCCATAATACCCCCTTATTGAGCCCGACTTTTGCCTTTAAGTTGTTGGGCTTTGGAGCGGGATCTTGATATTAACCCGGCAAAGACCATTGTCCTTCATCTTTGTGAACCCTCCCGGCGATTATGAAATTAACAATGTCATCTTAAAGAGGTGCGAAACAGCTAAGGACCTTGGCATTCTTATTGATTCCAGACGAACATTCTCTGAACACATCGACCAAGTTGTGAACAAGGCTTATGCAGCTCTTTTCGCTCTTTTCCGCTGCACGCAGATTACAGATGTTAGTATTCTATTACGACTGTACAAAACATACGTGCTGCCACATCTAGAATACTGCTCCCAGGTTTGGAATCCAATCCATAAGAAGCATGTTCTAAGACTAGAAAAGGTGCAGCAAACCTTCACAAGATTGCTATTCCACCGAGCATATCAACGGATGTCTTGGAATATGTTACCCAGTTACAGAGAACGTCTGAGACAGTTGGGTTTGAAGACATTGAAACATCGACGAGCTATTGCTGATCTCGTGTTCTGTTTTCGACTTTTACGGATGGAAATTAGGCTACCTGCTAGTAAGTATTGGGTTTTTAGGCCTGGAAGTGAAAGGACAGGTGGTTTTAACCTGCATTATGCTACCATCAAAAAGAAGTATCGGTCTCAATTGCATAATTTTGTTCTATACCGTGGGGCAAGATGGCTGCAACATTTGCCAACTGAAGTACTAACGGCAAAAGATGGTCGAAGTTTCAGAGTGAAATTGGAAAAAGTGGACCTGTTGCAGTTGTTGAGTTTGGAAGATTCTTGTTAGCTTCTCTAATGCTGTCAGTATTTTAGCGCACGAATCTTACAATCTCGTTGAGTTGCAGCTGCCCTTACAGCCGGTTGCGTTTCTTGAGGACTAGTGTGTCTCCATTAATGGTTGTGAAAGGCGGATCGACGAGCGTTGGCCGTAACCCACAGGATGATTGAGTGGCGACTTCTTTCTGAGCTGACTGCGATTTTTCCTTTTATGTTAGCGGGGCTGAGATATTGTCAAGAGTGATAATTTGGACTGATCTCGCGGCTAGTTTGTCTTTCATTAACTTTGATTTTTGGGTCCTTATGCCAAGTGGTTCTCGTTGCATGACAGCTATATTTCAGGAGTGCAGTTTTCCCCTTGTCGTGGCTCGTTCCTCATTGCTTGCCCTTCCCTTGAATAGTACGGCAGGGATATCAGCAGCCTTTTGGATTATATGCAGGTTGTGTGGACTGTGCTCGTCTACCGGTAGGTATCTGGGCACTTACCTAGCTTGCCGATTCCACGAGGGTGGCCGGTATACCCGTGTTTCGGAGTCTCGGCAAGACCCCACCCGTAGCGAGTGGGCATTCTTGCCGGCGAATGCATATTGAATATGAAAATAAATATATTGGTTTACTATAACATAAGAAGATTAGCACTATTTTGATCACAGTTCTTCTAATGTATGTGTGGGCGCAGCAGCGGTGTAGCGACATATGGTGCCCCTCACTCGCGTAGGTTTGTGAATCAAATCCTGGTTCGTTCACCGCTCAGGCTAACCAACCTTTCATCAGTCCGGGATCCATTACTTTTAAGCTTTTTCGCGTTGAGAGCATAAAACACTTATTTAAGTTAGGCTGGTCTCCTCAAGGGGTCAACCAGATCACATTCAAAGCTCTCCGCGATTTCGAGTAGAGAGAATGGGCGGAACACCTCAACAAGGGGTTGAAGAACGCCGAATCCTTTAGTCATATCCCTTGTTTGTGTGAGTATCCAATAGAGGTGAGGTATGAGACTTTTAAAATATTGTTTCGAAATTCCTCACCAGAGCGAATTGTTGTATTCATATGTGCGTCACGTGTGCTCTCTTGTGATCGAGTCTGCTCTCTTGTCTCGACTCTCATCTCTTCGACTGTGTGCTGCGTAGAGCGTGTAGAGTAGAGTGAAAGAAAGACGGCTCATACTCTCAGTACTTCGAACATGTGAACAGTCCTATGGAGTTTCTTTCCGACCATCGTTTACCTCGACGGAACGCCGCGAACGCTTCCAGGCGGTCCCTTTTTTTCATGCTGACGTATTCCAGTGTAAATACGCCACTTGTGATTACTGCATTTACTTGGGGGCTTAGATAGGAGTGTCGTCAAGAATCATTCGAAGAAGCCTTCTGGACGTTTTCCTGATGGATAATTTCTCACAGGTGGGGAAGTGCAACTGTCGTCGCTTGCGGCACTCGTGTTCGGGAGAGGGGGAGGGGTCAAGTTCCAGATCACGTATGCCTGACCCATCTACGGCTCTCATTCCCTCAAGGTCAGGTACTTAGGACCACACTTTTCCTAAACAGTGACTCGGGAAAAAGAAGGCAAGTCGTTGCTCAAACCGAATCAAATTTAGCCTCAACATGACCAAGCTTCTTTGTACTTGGGTTGGAGCATAATATCGTAGCGTTTTTTTTTCGAGCGTATAAATTCAATCAGTACAAGTATCACCCGAAAAACCGCTCATACTATTTGAAAGTACTCTTCCCGCTCTACAAAACCGTAGTTGTCATTTTCTTCAAATTGTAGCTGTACTCAGGTAGAGCTTAGAAGTTGGAAAATCAGTACGGCGAAAATCGGCGTTTCGACAGCTGCTATTCCTCGATTTGAATAAAAAAGAAAAAGCGCCAAATTGGAAGTTCATTTAACACGTTGACGACCGCCGTTGTGCGCGTACTGCTTCAACATTTTTCGTATTCTCTCATCAATAGGCATTAATCCTTCAGCGTTTTCATTATCAGTAATGAAAAATAGTTTTTCGGATCCAATAATGTACATGGACCGTTGTGGAACAGGAAAAACGCCAAATAAATTAAGGAAAACTAGTCTGCTTCATGTGAAAGTGTGGTATGACATCACACCACACGGTCGTCAACGTGTTAAATCCATTGTTCTGATCGAACCTTGCTCTGAACGACTCTTTTTTTCGCTCAAATCAAAACCATATTCATTCGTACAAATTGAGAATAATAAGGACTCCGAAAACGAGCTCAATATTTTTTTAAATTCTATATCCGGTGATCTCCTGCGAAATGCAATCAAAGTTGTAAATAATGACGAAGTGAACATCACTGATTAGTTTTATGTTTTTATTTTTGCTTCAAATGTTTGTGTGAAGAAATGAAAAAGCAAGGCTACGATATTATGCTCCAACCCAATATTTGATTGAATGCGCGTCACATTCCAAACCTCCGTATTGTTGAGTGTTGCTATTGATGAGTGCTTGACGCAGAATGTTTAGTCACATCTGGAACGCTCCATGTGTCCGATTTCCATGCAGAGTTGCACTGACTTTGTGGTTTTTCAAGTGTTGCTCCTGCACTTATGATGCAAGGGTTCACATAGGCTCAGGTTTCCTTTGACCCATTCGTGGAGTGGAGGCTCGATCTAGGGCGCAGCATACCAAATCCCATAACGCAAGTTTCAACTTTCTAGTAGTCATATCTTGATCAGCAGGCTTCGTAGTATCTATAAACACGTGGGTTCTGCCAGCGCCATCAGGCGCCGTGTGGTGCTGCCGCCTTTCTTGCTCCAATTCGCTATAAACTTACGGAACGGCTTAACTGAGGTCCTGAGCACGGAAAGCCGTTTTTTTGGCGCCGCACCATATGGCGCCATTTCGCACCGTTTGGCGCCAGCGCCACAGAGTGGACGCCATAGCTGTGTTCAGAATCGTCATTACCACTGTTCATAAGCTTGCAGAAATTAGTGGCAAAAAACTTTGGCGCCATTCGGCGCTTGGTGTCAGCGCCGAAATGTATGCCAAAGGCTATACCCGTAGCGATTTTGCCTGGCCGTCTCCGCGTCGCTATCGCCGCTGCCCGCCCATCCCTTCGCCGGTTGGCTTTGGCCGCTTACCACAGAGAGCGTTAGCGTTGATGAGGTAAGCACCAACTAAAACGCCCAACGCGCTAATCAATGGACGAGAGGGGATCTATTTCTTGGATTGCAGGCCGTGTTGTAGCAAGTTGTCTTCTCATTGTCCTCCGCCTTCATTCGTCTCACTACATTGAACCTTTTATCGGCGCATATTATGTATCAAGTTTTGGTCTCCAAGAAAAATAGTCGTGTTCACAAGCAATGGACTTTCTACTATGTCCGACTGTTTAGGCGATGCAATATGTTGGTTTTGTGCTCTAAGCGGAGTCGTTCAGGGTGAAAAGTCCTTTTCAAATTGCTTGTCTGCATCTTATATGAACCCGTGCGCGGACTACAAAACCGAGGTTTGTATTCGATGAGCGGCCTCCGGAAGGTCAATGGTAATAATGTTTCAAAGTCCAATTCTCCGTGATGACAAAGATTTTTCATCTTATTGTTAGTCACAGCTTCGAAATTTGCTCAAAATCGCCGCCAACGCCAATTGTATGTATCACATTCATTATTGAAATGATCAGTAGCTATTATTCTCAGATTTTTCCCAGAGCTGAGAAATAGTTGTAGTGTAATGACGATGAAGTCACTCACTGCCCATACTCGTACTCCAGCCGGCGGAATACAATGGGTCTCCTCGTGATCCTCCCAAAATAATAAAAATCTCGCCGGAGACTGAACAGTGGCAGACTCGAAGCTAGTGATCGACACAGGGATCCGCATCATGTTGAAGTTCGCCAGATTCTTCACTCCATCTAGGCGTGATTGTTGTCTTCGGCTCCTTCTCATGCAAGGCTTAATCTTCGTAGCTAGAGCGACTTCAAAGACCGTTCCTAGTGGGCTATATTCCCTATAAGGGTCAACCGTCACGTTGGACCAATTTCGGAAATTTTACGACCCCCCTGTTGCCAGCGAGTCTCGATACGCTCCACCCCTCCACCTCAGAAAAAAAACGGATGATGACTGTACCCTTGCTATTTGTATGTATTGCGTAGTAATTCGTACTACTACGTCGAGCGTTGCAAGAAACTGTTTGTGCAGACCGCATTAGATTCGATTAATTATGCACAGAGAGACAGTTTTAGGCAAATTACGGTGTTTTCCTTGAGGAATAAAGAACAGTTGAATGCATCCCTATGAAAGGTTTGACTTCTCGGGGCTGAAATTAAAGTTCTTCGGGACCTAATTTTCTGAGGACGATTCTTCCAGACAACGGTAAAACACATAAGAAAGCAGAAATCTCGTAGTCTTCAAAAATGTCTTCGCCCCTCCCCAACAAGTTCTTTGAAGGAAGTTATTATTGCTGAAAGCTCAAAAACTCGCATGTGCTGCTCAAAAACCTATGGGAACAAAATGTTCGAACGTGTGATTTTCTCG